TCTCTTTCCTCAATGCGAGCTAAACTCAAGGCCTCAATAACTCACCCAGATTTAAAACTCATTCTATGGAGCGAGCCTGGCATGAAAATAAGAAAATCAATCCTGCACGTGTGCTTTGCCGCTACTTGCTGACTCCAAGGCACTCAGCTTTAATTTGGATCGGGACGCTAAGGGCCGGCGCAGGAAGACATTTACAAAGCTTCATCCATTATAATTTACCAATAACGCCAACTTTGGGGATCATTACTGCCCGAGCATTAATGATTAATTCTTTCATCTGCAGAGTAGTTCCCTCTGGGTTCCACTCTTAGCATGTAACGAATGCTTCTTGGAAATGCACCCCATCCATATCAGCTCTGCTTATAAGCCGCCTCTCCTTTTTCAAGATGTCTTATGTCTTGCTAGAAAAACTCTAAAGATGTTGCACCTGTTTTACACTGGAATTGATCGGTTTAGACCAGTGGTTCCCAACTGGTTTTGCTTTAGGGCACAGATTATACATTGGACATGAATTGTTTTCAAAAACATGCACTTTGAAACCCGTTTTTAAAGGTTTGTGCTTGCAGGCTCCCAAAACACTATTTTTGTATAAATGAATGGCCAAAACGTACAAAAAGTTTTCAGTTTTTAGTTAGAAATGGGGGGGGGGGGCATGTATTGTCCTTAATGAAAATAAAAATGTCACGTGGTTTAACCATCAAGTAAATAATAACCAACACACTTTTATGGCAGTTTGTAACGATTCTACATTTTTGCGAATTGGTGGCTACTTCATACGAATCTCATTTGTACGTTTTCGTATGATCTGTTCACACCCCACTGACTGCTGGGTTTGTGGGCTGACCTTCATGACCTTCAAGTATGTATCCATAAAAATCACATTGTAAAAATTCATACGAAATCACCACCTCATAAAATAGTTATGTTCTGTTGTGAGATTGGACTGGTAATTACTAGTGCTGTCAAATGATTAATCGCGATTAATCACATCCAAAATAAAAGTTTTTGTTTGCAT